TGACCCCTGTGACTTCTGAAATGCAGAAGAAGCTGGTGACTGGACTTCTGTTCAGTAAATCAACATTGTTTTCAGCACAGCATGCTTTGATACATCTTGCTTTATTCCCATTTGGGTCTGACTTTAAGGTAATTTTATCTAGCTTTTAAAATTTATTTTAGGCATTATTAATTGATTTCATCCAAATGTGCTGGACAAGTCAAAAGTAAAAAGTTTGGCATCTTGTGCATGAAAAATCTGTATGATTTGCAGAAGTCCCCATCATATGAACGTGGCATAGTTTTTCTCTAGAGTGGGAGATCAGATGCCTCGGAGTTCTTAAGTGAGTTTGCACAAGGCCTGAAATTCTTGAAAAAGGTTAAGTGCCAGCCTTTGAGATCACCCAGCAGGGTTTGGGTCTCCCTCTGTTACTTGCATGCCTGCGTAGACTGTAACTACGGCGATCTGGATTTGCTAGTAGAAGGGTACAGGAGCCTCGTTCCACTTTTACAGTTGGAAAAATGGTTACAAATCCAGAGAAGAATTTTACATGTTGTTTTTCTAACACACTAGAGATCTGTAATAAATAATACAGAGGCTATTTTATTAGTTTGAGTTCCATATTCATAAGCATCCAATATATGAGGTATACACATGATCCACCACAGATAAAAAGTCGAAAATCCAAACCTTTGATAGACAGCTGCAAAAAAGCTAGTCAACATTGGTCATGCTAATAGTCCTGGTTGTGATTTTAGATAGAATTTCAAAACAAAATAAGATAGTTATCATTCTACCTAAATGTCCTTGTTATTATCAATTGTGGTGAGAAATAGTCCAGCAAGATGACCAGGAACTATCTGTATACAACATAAGCAATGTACATGGTGTAACATGTTAGATTGGCGTTCCAGAACTGATGCATTTTTAAACTTTTTTGCAAACCGTAAAAAAATTATAATGTAAAATAACGTTAATCCATTGAAGCCAAACTCTTGAACTTCACCCTTCCTGAACTTTGTGCTTTTTCTAGGCAGGGAAGACCTTTTTTCCCCTCACATAAACGTTGGTTTGAATAATATGACCTGAATACTCAAGATGACCTTGAAACTATTTATGTCCTTTGGAAGGTCTAACTGGCTGGACTTTCCCCTTTCTCCATACGTTTCCTGACATCTCAGCTGCTGGGAAACGCTGTCTCGGGGCATACGCAGGGCAAGCAGCGGCGCAGAGACCCCCACGCTTGTTTGGAGCGAGCGGTATCCATCTGTGGCTTGAATGCAGGAAGGGTCTTGTGAAAAAAATAAGCTAAGGACTTCTCAGATTGCGTTTTGCGGGCCCAAAAGTTGCGCAGGCGACGCTGATCCCTTTGTTTCCTTATTTAACGTAGCCGGGCGCCGGACTTTGCCGTTTCAGTCGCCCTCGCTTACCCCAGCGCCAGGGGACACCTCGCGTCCCGCGCCCGGCCGGCGCCGCGCCTTGGGCCTACCGGCAGCTGGGCCCTC